CCCTGCTTACGGAAACTGCCTCTCCTGTTAACCCTTATTACATTGCCACAGCTAAGGCGAAGCACCCATCGACCTGAGTGACGTTGAGTTGGCCACGCCCACCCAGTCACATGACCACCGAGCCCCACCTACCCAGATAGTCATTAGGCCAGAGAACCGGTTGTTAAATTATTTGAATCCCACAACTGATCTTGACATAGGAGAGCATGGAAACCACTTTACAGCAAGGCAATCCACTGGTCAATCTACGTAGTTCTTCATGGTCAAAACTGATGGTCAAGACAGCACCAGAATTTTGGATCACAGACAATCCCATTGTCTGAAGATCTAAGACAGGGGGTTGAAGGCCCAGTATAAGGCCCGGGGGCCAGATCCAGCCCATGGGATGCTTAGATCTGGCCTGCAGGTCCTCTCTGTAAATAGTGAAAACAGTCTCTGCCACTGTAAAGGTTGCTTGGGAGGGCCACAGTGGTGGGATTCAGCCAGTTCGCACCTATTCGGGAGAACCGGTTGTTAACTTTCTAAGCAATTTAGAGAACTGGTTCTTGGAAGAAATCTCCTTTTGTTTTTCCCACTTTACAGGGCTAATCCTGTAAGGAAGGCAGGAAGGAAACATTCTGTTGTTCTAGCCTAATCTTTATTGCCCTGCTTATAGAAACTGCCTCTCCGGTTAACCTTTATTACATTGTCACAACTAAGGTGAAGTGTCCATCAACCTGAGTGACGTTGAGTTGGCCATGCCCACCCAGTCACATGATCACTGAGCCCCGCCTACCCTGCTGGTCATTAGGGCAGAGAACCGGTTGTTAAATTATTTGAATCCCACCTCTGGATGGCCACGCACAGTCCATTACGCGGCGCTAGGGATTCGAACCGCCGAACTGCCGACCTTTCGATCGACAAACTCAGCGTCTTAGCCACTGAGCCACCGCGCCCCTAAGGAGGTTTTTCAGTCTTCTTCTAACGGTCCAATTGTCCAAACATCCAATCCCTTGATTGAGGTTTTCTGGTTCTCCCATCAGAATGCCAAAGAGGTCTGAACCGTACTTCTCTTCCACAATCAAATGGGAGACGTCTTTATTTCCATCTGCTGACGCGCACATTATTTATACAGACCGAGAGAATGAGGATTTGGAGGCGAGGACACAAATCCACCTAATTGGGAGCATCTTCAGTGCTTCTTCCTCTCAACACCCACTGTGCACTAAATAGAGCACCAAGTCTTTTGACATCAAAGGGGCAAACATCTCACTTCACTTCGAAACGTCTTCCAGATCTTGTACAAACATAGCATCAACATCCCCTCCCCTTAAAAAAAAAAGATGAAAGAAAGCAATCTCTTCTCAAAAAAATAAAATAAAATCACCGAAGGAAGGAAAGCTGGCGCCTTCAACGACGCTCCCTCCCCCTATTTTTTTTCTTCAATGGGTTTGAAAAGGGGGTGGGGGAGAGAAGGACCCCTAACTTCAATCGGTTTGTATAAACCAGCTTTTGTTTTTTTTCTCTCTCTCTCTTTCATTTCACCCTAATGGCTTTGCTCTTAAGGATTTGCTATAACTGGATTGCTTTGCTACCCAGCAGGGATCTTGCCGCGGTAAAGCACAGCTGTTCAAAACCCAAACGGAGTTTCTTTCCCCAAGTTCTGCTGACTGGTTCAAAAAAAAATTTCGGCTCTTTGGAAACGTTTGCTGTTGCAGAAGCTGTCATCAGGGATGGGGAGAGCAGCTGAGTTTCTCCCCACGGACGTTAAGGCTGGGCGGATCTAAGGGGAAGGGGATCGGATCAATCGATGCTATGGTGTCAAAAAACCAGGGGCCGGTGGTTGGTGGCGCAATACTGGAAGAAGGAAGATTTGCCTAATATTCAAGAATGGACATTAAAAGTAACAAACCTAGCAGAGATGGCTAAAATATCAGCATATCTCAAGGANATGGAATCCGGAGGAGGCCTAGTCTGTGGGATCTTATGGGTCTCTGGGAGGTAACTGGCAGGAGGCGGTCTCTCAGGTAGCCAGGTCCGATACCAGGAAGCCGAATGTTTCTTCCAGTTGGATCCGCATGAGTTTCCTTAATTTCTCAGACTTTGCAGAATTATTCTTTGCGGGGCGGCAAAAAAAGCGGAGCATAGCATTTGTCCTTCTGGATTCTGTAAAAGAGCACATTTTAGATACCCGGATGTCAGAAGTGTACCCTGCAACTTCGGGGATTTTCAGAATTCCCATTGTGGCGGTGGTGTCTGCCAAGACGGATGTCTTCACACCTGGATGAGTGTGAAATGCATGTGTTCTTCTGCCCCACTGCAGGAACCCTCTTCCCCGCGCAGCCCTGCACACCTTCAAAGCAGCCCGGGTGCTGGGCAAAGAGGACAGCAGCCTGGGACAGTGCGACAAAGCTGGCGAATATTTGCGAGAGAGCTTGGGTGGGAACTCAACTCCGAGTGCTATTGACAGAGTACGTCGCCCGTGGGATGTCCCGGTGTGGGTGGAACTGGTGGGCTCACAAGTTCCAAGGGGTCTCTTGGAGATGCAGAACTGGAGGGAGGAGCTCTGAACGTGGCTGTTGGGCTAAACCAGGGATGGGCTTCAGCATGGTCAGAGCAAAGAGGGCCGATCCATAACCTTCCTCTTGGTCCATCTTCACTGTGAGTGAAGTGCCAGAAAGTGACGAATGGTCCATCTGATACACCTGTTCACCAACCTCTGGCTCATCTTTGGCGAGAGCTCTACCATCCCGGTGAATGACAGTGAGGTCCCTCAGCTGTAAATTTCAGCTCTCGAGACACGGGACCAGGAGTGAAATTCAGCAGGTTCTGGAGAACCGGTAGCGGAAATTTTGAGTAGTTCGGAGAACTGGCAAATACCACCCTCTGGCTGGCCCCAGAATGGGGTGGGAATGGAGATGTTGCAGTATCCTTCCCCTGCCACGCCCACAGAACCAGTGGTAGAAAATGTTGAATTTCACCACTGCACAGGACCTCTTACTTAGGAATGGGCCTACTTGCTATCAACATTCGGACACAACCTAGGGCTGAGTCCTCTCATTACTTCAGACCAGAAACCAAAGCATTTACCCACCAAAGATTTGCAGGCAAGAATATTCACCCAATGGTGCCTCAGCGGAGAGCTATGCTCAGGGGTTGCTTCTTGCCTCCCACTGTGCCAAGTCAACGGCTCCTGGGCCAGATGTGTCTTGATACAACGGTTCTCTTGAACCTGAGAAAGGCAGGTTCCTGCCCCTCTGAGATCTCCCTTGCCCTCTGAGGCTGGAGCTCGGACTCCGGGGACCCCCTGGCAGTAGGAAGGATGGGATAAAAGCAGGGTTGAAATCCAGCAGGTTCTGATACATCCTGGAGAACCGGTAGCAGAAATTTTGAGTAGTTCAGAGCACCTGCAAATGCCACCACTGGCTAGTCCCAGAGTGGGGAGGGAATAGGGATTTTGCAGTATCCTTCCCCTGCCACGCCCACTGAGCCACACCCACCAAGCCACAACGCGCCCACCAAGCCACGCCTACAGAACCAGTAGTAAAAAAGAAATCGAATTTCACCACTGGATACAGGCAGGAAGGGAAGTACAGAGTGGAGAGTCCCATCTCAGTCAGGGGATGGCAATGTGGAAGACGCAATGGCTGTGTCGGTGGTGCATTGTAGTTGCATTGCATGTGCAGGTGGAGATGTGCAATGCCCCTTCAGTGCAGCCCTGGGGCAGCACCCATGCAGCGGAAGGGCCTGCTGAAAGGTGACAGAAGCAGGACCTCTCTAGTTCTTAAGACGGGGTGCAGAGAGAGAGGGAGAGAGACCCCTTTTCCCCCAGCCCAGGGGACTTGTGGGAAGCCACGTCTTTGTGCTCTTCCACCCTCCACCCACAACCTTCCTTTGTTTGTGTATGTGTGTGTGTGTTTCTCCCTTCAGGCAGTGCAGTTCCTTTTGTGCGACCTGCTCCTGATCACTCGCACCAGGTTCTGGCAACAGCAGATGCAGGGGGTGCCCCCGCACAGAGCCCGCTACCAGGCCTCTGCCCTCGAGCTGCGTGGCTTTCAACAGGACCTCAGCACTCTCCGGCGCTTGGCGCAAGCAGACCAGCCTGCAATGCACAGGGTGAATGGCGGCCCACCGGGTGTCTTTCCTTTAAAGTAGGGAGAGCCGAGGGTACCTCTGAGACACTGAAAAGGGGAAGGTGGTAGAAGCTTTCCTGTGATAAAATATGGGTCAGGTTTTTGGGTTGGCAAGAGGGGGAGGCCAAGCTTGCTGGGGAAGTCTGGGAGTTGAAGTCCTCCAGGCTTAAAGCTGCCAAGATTGGAGACCCCTGCCGTAGGGTTGGTCCACCTCATCAACTTTAAGAAGGGTGGACCTCAACTTCCATAGCTGGCTGGGGAAGTCTGGGAGTTGAAGTCCTCCAGGCTTAAAGCTGCCAAGGTTGGAGACTCCTGTCCTTGAGGGTTGGCCACCTCATCAACTTTAAGAAGGGTGGACTTCAACTCCCATAGCTGGCTGGGGAATTCTGGGAGTTGAAGTCCTCCAGGCTTAAAGTTGCTAAGGTTGGAGACTCCTGTCCTTGAGGGTTGCTCCACTGTTGGTCTCCTTCAACACCAAATTATGGCCCAGGTTCAACACTTGGATTGAGTTGGCTTCTGAAGTTCACCACTGTCCTAATGATGGGGGGAAAAGATTTCTGGGGGAGGTGAAAATGCTGTCTTGGGAGTTAACTTTTCCACCTCTTCCTCCAGGTCTTCCTCCATGAGGCAACTGCCCGACTGATGACCCGAGCCAGCCCCACTCGGACCCACCAGTTGCTTGACCGAAGCCTCCGCAGGAGAGGACCTTCTACTACCAAAGGAGGTGAGCCCCTGAAAGCTTCAGCAGGTCTTCTGAGGGTGGGCATGGGGTTTTGGAAATGCGGCTGTGGGCCAGTACCCATCTATGGGTGCCACAGATGCACCAAGGCGGTCTAAATTCACACACTGTGGTGTCCACCTGCTTCCTCTGATCACCTCTCTTTCTTCCCTCCCAGCTGGCGAGCAAGAGAGCCGCCCCACCGCCAGGGAACAAGCAGAAGCCTTGCAACTGGCCTGCTCCTACCTCCCCCCTGCGTTGCTTTTGGGACCAGGCCAAACGGGGGGCATGCTGGCCGAGGCCGCACGCTCCCTGGAGAAGCTGGGCGACAAATGGACCTTCCATGAATGCCAGCAGATGATTGTCCGGCTCAGCAGTGGCTCCACCGTCACTTCCAGCTAGAGATTTGGAAGAGTCCTAGGAAGGAAGGAGGGGAGGGAGGCCCGGTGTGGCCCCACCGGTGTGGCTTGTGGCAGTGTTGGTGAAAGTGGCAGAGAGGCCTGGCAGAGCCTGGCAGGGGTGACTCTCTCTCTCACTCTCTCTGCTGAGGCAGATCTGGTTGCTCAAGGATGCTCAGCTAGCCCTTTCCTTCTTCTCCTCCTGCGTCTGAATGGATCTAGGCATATACAAGAGGAAACAAGCCAGCATGGAAGAACTGGGTGGATCTGGCTGGCTTCCCACTCTTCCCAGGGGAAGGGGGGTCTTCACAACTCTTGCGAGTCTCTTGGATTTTAGGCTCCCCACGATCAGGGTGCATTTGGTGGGTAGGGTAGTTTCTCTTCACCTTTTGGAGACCAACCAGCTCTCAATGTCTCGTAACATCTGTCCAGCAGGTGATGGCTTTGCCCTTCCATCTTTCACAGCCAACTCCATTCCTCCCCGGCTACCCCCACCTCTGCTTGACTTCCTCCCCCTCTTTGCTGGTGATCCATGCCCATCTATCTCTTTTGAAGCTTCTGGGCAGAGTCCAGCCTGGCAGGGGTTGTGGGTGGTTTCCATCTGATCTGTTGTGAATTGCTTGGCGCTTGCTCATTTCTCCCCATCCCTTGAGGGCGTGGGAGTACAATTCAGTGTAACCTCTGGTGGTGTTGTGTGGTGGCCTTTGGATGAGCTTCAGTCATGGACCTACCACCCTTGTGGTTGAGTCAAGTTCTCCTCTCTTGACATATCAACTGTGGCTCTTGGAAAGCAGCTGAAAAGAGGACCACCTTTTCTCTTCTCTTAAGGTGGGACTCAGGTGGAGAAGAAGCCCACTTTCATGGAAGAGGACATGCCATGAAAAAGCTTAGTAGGATTTTTAGAAAAAAGTTTCTAGAAGGAAAATAGAAGGCAGACCTTGCGAGAGATTCTCCGTTGTTCCACCCCTGGGGAAGCGATCTGTTGAAAGCCACAGTTCCTTCTCTTACTCTAACCTTCTCCCCACTCCCACCCTGTACTGTAGCTTGAGGGACTCACCGGAGTGGATAACAGGAAGACCACCCAGAGGGTGAGCGTCAGGGTTGGTGGAGGAGCTGGAGGGTTTCCTACTGCTGCCCATCACTTGAGGGAGGAGATGCACTCACATCAGTGTCCTCCCTTGCCCACACGCACCCCTGCTCAGCCGTG